TATGATCATTGGTTTCATTGATCAAAGTTCCCAAGTACTGATATTTTTCTACTTGTTCTATCACGCTACCATTGATTGTCAATAGGTGATGTATATTTTGTGGTCTTTTTGTAATTAGCATGTACTTCGTTTTTTTTAGCGTTTATAGTAATTCCCATCTTAGCACTATTCAACTTAAGCTTTCGACAGTGTCGTCTGCATATCGTAAGAGTGTTGCCCATCAATTTGAACTGTGGCACTTTGTGTCAATGCGCTTGTTCATAAGTATTGATATTAGTTTTTCATGTCTTACTTTATCGAAAGCTTTTTTATAGACAACAAAGCATAAGTGTAGATCAACGTTTACATCCCGACATCGCTGAATCAATATGTTAATGGCCAATAGTCCTTCTCGAGTACCCATTCCATTTCGGAACCCGAACTGCGTGTCGCTAATATCCTCCTCTACCTTATCGTATATTCTCTTATGTATTACTTTCAGTAGTACTTTTAAAGCATGACTCATGAGGCTCAGTGTTCGATAATCAGAGCACTCTTTTCCTGCTTGTTTTTTTAGGGATGATTATAAATGCCGACTTCAGCCACTCTTGTGGTATTATTCCCGTATTGTACACCGTGTTGAATAAATCTGCCAAGACTTCCAAGTTATCCTCTTCCACTAGTTTTAACAGTTCAACTGGTATTTTATCTAATCCAGCTGTCTTATTGTCTTTAAGAGTTTTTGATAGCATATTTGATTTCATCACAAACTTCAATGTGGCGACTGCCCAAAAGCTTACATCGGTCAAACTGGTAGAAACTTTGATAAACGAATAGCAGAACATAAAAGGGCTTTCAAGAATAGAAAAACAGATTCGACATACGCACTTCACCTTCTAGATTATAATCATTCTTTTAATGAAAAATTTAAAATTCTTCACATTCAAAATAAAGGCCTTAAACTGTCTTTGTTAGAATCTATGAAAATCAACAAATTAAAAAACACAGATATAATTCTGAATGACCAACTTGAGACAAACAGTTCTCCCCTCCTCAACCTATTTCATTAGCGACCTCAACCTATTTCAGTGTTTTATTGTTACATAAAATGAATTTCCATCAAGTAACGGTCGAATCCATCAATTATTTATAAGTAAGATCTCTAGATTTTGTTAAATTGATTTTATTGTGCAATTCTGAATAAAACTTTTCGATCTCATCTTCGGTTTTATCAGTTATGGGAACATAGACTTGGATCAATTAATATGACAGTTACGTGCTTGAATTTTATGATTTTTATTCTTTCTGAGATTTGAATCACACCTAGCACTGATTTTCTAATAGTGTTGCTTATGATGAAAGCTACTCCGTATCGATAATTGGCTTTGTCTCCTCCAGTGCAATAAATATTGTGGTTATCTCTCCATTTCCTGACCATTGTACATCGCTAACCCGAAGTATATCTATATTTAGCATCTCTTATGTAGTTTTCCCGGCTGATACATATTTCTTAAATACCAGGTAGCTATTTTTATCTGAGAGGGTCGAGTATTTTTTTTTGTTTTTTGTACAAGGGTTTCGCTTGTTGATGACCGAGGAGGCCTTACGTTCTGAGGGTTGTCCTCCCCTGCCGAATTTTCGTCTCCGATTACCATAATGAATAATGTCTCTTGCGCAAATAGTGCTAGCGATTATAATTTATACTAGAGATGTCATCAGGGACCTTTAATGCATGGTTTCTCGTTGCCTTCTGCATTCTGATGTCGTTGGCCACTTTCTTGGTTCTTAAGCCTTCGAGACCAATTTCTCAGTCTCAGGACAACAGAGTGTCCTTCCACTTACTACCTCATCTGCCCTACTCCGTTGGCCAGTAAATGGTGGATTGCCTATATCGGCAAACACTTCTTTATGTACCGTACTGTAAACCGATAAATGTATACCTAGAGATGGACCAGAGAACTAAGAAGAAGTAAAATTAGAAGACAAACAAATAGCATTCAGAGCTGAAAGATAAACAGTTGATAACATAAGCATAGTACGAAATGTAATACAAAAAAAATATGCCCAGGAAAACAACATATTTATTACCATAGACCTTAAAACTGCGTAGACAGAAAAGTAATGTGGAACACAATGCAGGAGCTAGGAATATCAGGAAAACTATTACAGGTAATTAGAAGTACGTAACGTACAATGGTGGAGAAAGTACATGCGCCAGTTATGATAACAGGATTATTGTAGGCAGACGACATGGTAGTCATAGCGGATAACCCGAGGCAGTTACAACGACTAATTGATATATGGACTGAGAAAATAGAAAAATGAAGTTAGATATAAATATTAACAAATGCAAGAGTATGAAAATAGATCACCAAGAGAAGAATATTGGATATGAAATTTGAGTGTTCTGTAAGTGACAACAATTAGAGATGGTAACAATCTACGAGTACCTGGGTACGATTATATCAAACGATGGATAGCTAGGCTTTGAAATTGCAAGTATGTATACATGTATATAACGCAATGACAGTAGCAGAAATGAATAACCTAAGAAAGATAGCTGGAAAGGCGAAGCTGGACAAGGAAAGAAACAAAAACATTAGAAAAGTACTAAACCTGAAACCAATAGAGAAAAAGTAGAACGAAGAATACTGAACCCGTATGGAATAAAACGAACTAATAAAGTGCCAGTGGCCAAAATACAGCGAAGAAGAAAGGGTAAATGGGTGGATGGAACAAAGCCAGAAAACCGGGACCAAGAGAGGAAAATCAGTGCAACAGATGAAGGAAATTGCACAAGGCCGGAAGGCGTGCAAGAAATGGGTAAAAGATGGATAGATGCCAAGAAAATCCGACGCTCCTATAGAGTATAATGAAGGCGAGAGGATGAAGATATCTCCAGGTACAAACATGCTTTCGCCTGTTCTTTCATTAGTTTATTATCAAATCCTTGCACTATACTATTTTTATCACATGTATTTTTGATTTTTTTATTTGTGTTCATTATAAGACTGCCTATAATCCTAAAAGTTTCTCTGAGTTTAGATACTCCCAGCAGTTTCTTCCAGCATATTTGTATTTCAATTGTATGTTTGTTTTCCTTTTTATTTTTCTTTCTTCATTACACATTGATTGTGAAGACATCAATATATTTTTTTAAATCAGACCCTTTTCTCTAGAGGAGGAAGCAGTAACCAGCAGTAATCTTATTCTTGATGTATATTACACATCCCCCTTCCCTTTTATATAAACGAACAAAATCAATATTTTTTTGAGATAATTATTCAGTCCACATCCAACTTATATACTTATTATACTTATTAGAAGGCAGGTATAGTAACCTTACACTGTAATGACAAGAGAAATTAAAATATTCATAATACGACTACACCTTTTATTCACCTTGAAATCAATTATAGCAAGTGGGTTATTATTATAAATCATTATAACTGTCCTTTTACGATACAACATATCTACTAGATATAGATAAATAACTAGGAAAAGAAAAAAACTATAGCAAAATTGCAATTCTTATTATGCAGTCGAACGAACTTGAGCGTTGAGCGAAAGAAAAAGTATGACCTCTAAAACTTTCCACTGGCATCTTTTATAATATAGTGCAGTGGTTCTCAACCTTTTTTGGTGGCAACAACCTTTTAAACGTAAACAACCTTACGTATTTCATCTTTTTCTATTATTTATTTTCTATTTCTCTTCACGGATGAAGAACGCCGCTCCACGTTCTGACAGATCGTCATTCGATAAAATACAAGAAAACCAAGCTTCGGATTTTGGTGTCAACGATTAGTTCATGACGTTTTCGGATTTTCGTTAACAGTGCTTGTTGCAATTGCTTATCTCAGCGATATTTCGTTAATACACCGTCTTAAATGCGGTCTATACGAAACATCATGCATAAGACATCACCAATCCAATTTAATGATCTTTGACAGGAACATTCATCATCATCATCATCCAGCCTTCATTTATCACTCCCACCGCTGGACAAAGGCCTCACTTAAACCACTCCATTCTTTGCGATTTTCTGATCTTTGTTGCCAATTTTTCGTTATACGCCTGATGTCGTCAGCCCAACGTGTAAGTGGTCTTCCGCTACTACGTTTGTCTGCTCTTAGCCTCCAATGTGCAATTTTGCTCGTATATCGTAAGTCGTGCATTCTCGCTACATGGCCTGCCCAATTCCATTTTAGTTCCGCTATGCGGTCCACAACATCAGCAATACTCGTCCTTCTTAGCAGATCTTCTTTTCTTATTCGGTCCCGCAACGTCACTCTCAGCATCGATCGTTCCATTCGTCTCTGTACCACTCTCAATTTCGAAGCCGTAGTCTTGGGTAGAGTCATAGTTTCCCCATAGGTCATATAGTCTATTCCCCATAGTCATAAAGCCCCATAGGTCATGAGCAGGTCACTCTAGAGTCGAGATAATATACTTTGGATGTTTATTATCTTGTTCGCGTGGTTTTTATTGACAAAGAAACCGATGCCTCCAACTGATGTAGTTTCAGCGCCAGTCTGATAGGATATTATGCCCTGATTTCAGTGTTTTTAAAGTTTCGCATCTCTTCTAGACTTCTGACATTGTATGTAAAGAGTTATGGGGTTTTTGAGTTTCCGTATAGTCAGCTTTTTGTCCCCCCACCCCTCCAGAATCCTTGGGACAGGACAGAATCAGTGTAAGATTTTGGATGCATCCTACTCACCTGGGGTAAATCTGTATTTGTTTTAAAATTTGTCATCGCGGTTTTAAGGGGTATATTGGCATTTAAAACACCACGCCATATCTACAGGAACTTCCCGCCAAGTCTGTCTTGTACAGAGTACTGAAGGACCCCTACTAAGTTCAGAGCCCCTTCTTTACGCAAGCTGAGACCGACACAGGAACATTATGGTTTGATAATTTGTCAAAAAAATCTATTTTTTAAAGAAGTCATACACTTCTGCATTATGTCTTTTTTACTAAAACACCAAGCTCATTGTAAGATTTTTATTTTGTTTTAGCGAATAACAATAACCATGAACATATATCTTCTGGTGTCTTTGTCAGTTATGACAACAGTAATATGTTCACCACCATCAGTTGATCCATACATTGAGAGTTTCACCAAAGGTCTCAACGAAATTGAACATATCGCTAAAGAGTACAAATACGAGGAACAAAATTTCGATGCTGAAAAGCTAAATTCTTCTGCAGGTATATATCCATACTAAAATAATCTTACTTTATCCACAAGGAATCTACGTTCCTGTAGTTGGCTGTATACCATGTATTAAAAATTTAATTAAAAATCCTTTATAAAAGGTATATTTTAGGCCCAAACGGGCTAAGTTAAAAAGACAAAACGTTTTCGGAAACCATGTTCCATCATCAGTGTCCTAGAAAATAGTTAACCACTTAATTAAAAAGAACATAGGTTAAAATTTTGACTAAGGTTAAAGAACAATGTGGTTAATACTTACTAGGGGTACATGAATGAAGCCACCAAGATTAAATATGTGGGTAAAAACCCGATTACATATGTTTAATTACATTTAGTTTTAAATTAATGTTGAAATAATATAAGATTACAGAGTTACCGATGGATTTGGTAACATGGCGACATATGACTCCACGTTGAAGTTGCTAGTCCTGAGACGGTATGTCTTCGAGGACTATATGAGTGCAACTGATTGGCAATGACATTTGATGACAATATAATTAAGTTATGACGGAAATAATCACAGAGCAGTCAATGTAGCTGTATGTTTCTACTTAAGACAAAAGCCAACATTATTTAAAATTGTGAGAATTAAGTACATTAATATAACAGTATCAACCATCAAAGTTGTAGTTTTTAATTTATGAAATTGAGATGATATAAGGGGGCAAAATTTTTATGGTTGTAGTTAGGCAACCAACTATGCATGTATGTAGTAATGAAATATAGAAAGATTTTTAATTATATGGCCCTTTATGTTACTTAAACATTTGGTACCCAGAAAATATAAACTAGACACATGTTGAAGGTTGAATTATAGAAAATATTGATGTTAATGGTTGGATCTAAATATATTTATTTATAATTGGAGGTGTTCTTGTTTGAATAAAATAAAACTGTTTTAGTGAATGTTCACATGTTATTTAACTTTCAACTCAAATATAGAGGTCCTGTATGTCATAAGCAACATTTGGTACCTAGCAAATGTGAAAATTTATTTTGAGTAATAAGTTCATGAACATAAATGTCTGATAAGGTAGTAACAGACTAAAAGGTGTGGAAGTTTTATTGTATTAACTATTGTATGTAATGAACGAAAGATTTTATTTTGATGGTTGGAACATGATTATGTAGTATGTTGAAAGTGTGGTAATCTGCTTATAACTTAAGAAAGGTCCTATCTGTCATAAGGCAACACTAGGCACAAGAGAAATAAAAAGAATAAGTTATAAGTTAGGTTTGTTGAAGGTATAAGTTGTCTCAAAGTGTGATGGTGGTATGGTTGGCTTTGTTGATATTAAGTGAAACTAAAAAGTTTTTGCAGTGTCATCTTTGCAGAAGAATAAGTTGTGTGATTGGATATTATTCAAAATGGATATGAGGATCTTAAGGTGTTCGTTCAAATAATGTGTGAAATTAACAAAATTTAAAGGTTGAGATGTGATTATGTATTATGTTTTTCATACAGAACTCGAATTATAACTTAAAAAGGCCCTATCTGTTATAAGACAACACTAGGTACATGAAAAAATTTTAATGAATAAGTTATAAGTTGAATCTGTCTGCGTTGTGTACTGGATTTAACTTGAAAGATTAATAGATAGCTATGTTTAAATTGAATAAGAAAGAAATTTATGGTTGTTTTGAATGGATGGTGGGATACTGGACCACTGCAGAAAGCTGAGATCACCAGAGGTCCGCTACCAAACCCTACGGAAGATGTGAGAAAATGTAAGAAGGGGACTGAAATGTTTGTCAGAAAGGGTTGCTGAATAGTTTGAGATTTTTGGGGGGCTAACAAGAAGCATGGACAGTAATAGATAAAGAGGTTTAGACTTGAAGTTTGGTTTAATGAATAGAAGAGGGAAGAGCTGAAGAGTGTGTTAAGTTGAAGTAAAAGTTTTGGAATGGACTGAAGTTTATTGATAAATGTGAATTTTAGTTGAGAGGTAAATTAGTGGTGAAAAATTATGAGAACAGTTGGCGATGAAGAGGAAGGAAGTCTCGATTAAAGGATACATGACGATTGACACAATTTGGGCTTTTTTGTTTTTCTTTTAAAATTTCAAGATCTTCATATAAATCTAATTTAAGGAAGTTTTTTTGGGGGATGTTGTGGATAAGTGAAACGTCTTCTGGGATATTGAGGGTATGGTTATGTTCTTTGAGATGTTGGGAGAAGGTGGAAGTATTTTCCCTTTTTATGTGTTCTAGAGAACGTGAGGATAATGATCTGCATGTCCTACCTATGTAGGAAGCATTGCAATCTGAACATTTTAATCTATATACTCCACTCCGATCCATATAATTGATGGGATCTTTGGAATTAGAAATGTGTTGACCCAAATTGTAGGGTACTTTAAATGACACATGGATATTTTCGACCGAACGTTGGATGAGATTTCGAATATCTCCAGAAAGACTTTCTTGATAATATGGGAGTGAAACATAATTGGGCTTGGTAACAAGGTCTCTGGGGAAAGCAGTCTCCTGCAGGGTCTTAAGGCGTTTTTTACGGATGAGTTTATTGATAATGTTATGGTCATATCCATTGTTGACTGCTATTTGCTTAAGTATGTTTAGTTCTTTTTTGTAATTTAAGTCTGAGAGTGGAATGGTTACTAGGCGATGGATGTAACTATGAAAAGCTGCGTATTTATGCGACATGGGGTGGTTGGATGAGAATGGAATTATGTGATCAGTCTGTGTAGGTTTCCTATAGATACTGAAGTCGAAGTGGTCATTTAATCTGGTAATAGTGAGATCTAGAAAATTAATAGACATGGAGGATTCTAGTTCCATGGTGAACTTGATGTTGGGGTGAATTTGATTGATTTTGGCAAGTAAAAGATCAGCTGAATTGGAATTACCTGAAATGAAGACTAAGCAGTCGTCAACATAACGAAACCAGTGGAGTATTTCAGGGTTTTTCATGATATGTGTGGATTCTAAGTGATCCATAAATATATCAGCTAGTAAAGGAGAGAGACAACTGCCCATGGCAGGTTGTCTGTAGTATTTGTTGTTAAAAACAAAGAAATCTTGATCTAAACAGAGCTGTAATAGTTGGATAATGGAGTTGGTGGTAGATAAGGTGATGGAGTTGGCTATGAGAAGAGAATGAACCAGATTAATAGTTTCTTGTTTAGGGACAGATGTGAATAGATTGCTGACATCAAATGATAGCATAGTAATATTGGGGTGAAGGTTGATGTGTTGTAAATTGTTGACTAGATGACTGGTATTTTTGACTGAAAATCGAGGGGTGAAGTTCGTCATGTTGTTGATAAGATTCAATATAAATTTTGATAGAATGGAAACTGGAGTGTTAATGAAGCTGACAACTGGACGAATAGGAATACCCTCTTTGTGTATCTTAGGTAAACCGTACAGTCTGGGTATTAAAGGATTACTTGGGATTTTATAATATGGTGCAAAATGTTCTGAGAAGAAGTCTGTGAAATGTTTGATATTGTCTTTTAATTTATTTATGAACTTTTTTGAGGGGTCTGTTGCAAGTAAAGTGAAGTTATTGTTATTGAGGAAGGTTGAGACTTTATTGTTGTATGATGTTTGATCTAGGATCACCAGGCAGTTACCTTTATCAGCTTTACTGATGATTAAATTATGGGATTTGATTTTATTCTTGATTGATTTGAGAGTTTTGAGATGATCATTACGTTTGTTTTGAGAGAGATTGTGAAAATTGGGTGTAGGGTGAAAATTTTGAATGTTGGAGGGAAAATTAGAAGATGAGGGTGTGTTAATATTAAGTATAGTAGAAGAATTGGGAGAATTTTTGTTTTTGAATTTGTTTATGGTATTGAAGCAAGAGTTTCTGATAGAGGTTTTTTGATTTAAAGGGACTGTAAGGTTTTGAATGATAATATCTAGCTCAATGGAGAGACTCTGAAGGTCTTTTTCGGAGACCATGCGAGGAATGGAGTATTTGAGACCTAGATTTAGTAACTGAAGTTCGTTATTGTTAAAGGTAACTGACGAGAGATTTTTTAATCTTGGATGAAAATTGAAATTAGAGAATTTACTGTTGTTGTTACTGTTATTATTTGTTGATTTAGATTTATTTTTAATGAGGTTATTTAATTTAGATTTAAGTTTATTGAATTTGGTGGAAGTTACATTGTCCAATCTGTCCTGAACATCATTCAAAAAATTATTTAAATTGTCATAGCCCATGAAATCAAGTAAAGAGTCATATGTTACCTTGAGTTTACAATCTATGTAATTTAGCTTTCCATAATGGTTACAAATCTCCTTCTTCAAGATTTTTTGTTGAAAGTTGTTCTTCAAGTTAATAGGAATTTTCTTTCTATAATTCAACCTTCAACATGTGTCTAGTTTATATTTTCTGGGTACCAAATGTTTAAGTAACATAAAGGGCCATATAATTAAAAATCTTTCTATATTTCATTACTACATACATGCATAGTTGGTTGCCTAACTACAACCATAAAAATTTTGCCCCCTTATATCATCTCAATTTCATAAATTAAAAACTACAACTTTGATGGTTGATACTGTTATATTAATGTACTTAATTCTCACAATTTTAAATAATGTTGGCTTTTGTCTTAAGTAGAAACATACAGCTACATTGACTGCTCTGTGATTATTTCCGTCATAACTTAATTATATTGTCATCAAATGTCATTGCCAATCAGTTGCACTCATATAGTCCTCGAAGACATACCGTCTCAGGACTAGCAACTTCAACGTGGAGTCATATGTCGCCATGTTACCAAATCCATCGGTAACTCTGTAATCTTATATTATTTCAACATTAATTTAAAACTAAATGTAATTAAACATATGTAATCGGGTTTTTACCCACATATTTAATCTTGGTGGCTTCATTCATGTACCCCTAGTAAGTATTAACCACATTGTTCTTTAACCTTAGTCAAAATTTTAACCTATGTTCTTTTTAATTAAGTGGTTAACTATTTTCTAGGACACTGATGATGGAACATGGTTTCCGAAAACGTTTTGTCTTTTTAACTTAGCCCGTTTGGGCCTAAAATATACCTTTTATAAAGGATTTTTAATTAAATCTTACTTTACTACTAACTCTTTTTATACAGAGAGTTACTTTTTATAACAAAGAAATTTTAATTTTCTGTGTTATACTAATTACAATTTTATCTATAATTTTTTTTAGCCTCCAGAGATTTCGACTTCATTATTATCGGTTCAGGAGCATCGGGAGCTGCTCTAGCAACCAGACTTTCGGAGGTACACGATTGGAAGATTTTGGTCTTAGAAGCAGGATACGTAGAAACACCAATATCACAAGTACCCAATATATACCAATATCTACAGACAACACCTTACGAATGGGGTTATACAACCACAGAACAAAAACATTCCTGTTTAGGTAAGAGTATGATTCTTTGTTCTGACTGTTAGGATACCACTTCAGTGATGTTTCCAGAAGGATTTTATCTCGTAAGATTATGTTCATATTTTGCAACAAAATCTTTTGGAATTCTCTTCTATTAACGGTTTTTGTTATTTGCATTTATTTCTTAATCAATCCATCATCATTTCTAGGTATGGAAGGCCACAAATGCTCTATTAAATATGGCAAAGCTCTCGGTGGTATAACATCAGTAGATAACATGTTATATACTAGGGGAAACCAAAGAGATTATGACAAATGGGCTGACTTAGGTCTGAAGAACTGGTGCTGGAATGATGTAGCTCACTATTTCAAGAAGATGGAAGATGCATATATTCCTGAGTTAGACAGGAAACATCATGCTTTTGGTAAGAACGTCTAATTCTAAGAAAATCTAATCTATCGGATGATAAAACTGCCAGTGTTTATTTATATAATAAAACTAAGACGTTCTTTTTAGGTGGTCCAGTCCATCTGGAACATTTCCGTCACTCCACCGGCTTAGGAAAACATATATTAGAAGCAGGACATGAACTTGGTATCAAGGCAGTTGACTACAATGGCAAAGATCAACTTGGACTCTCCCTTCCTCACGCAACAACCAAGGCTGGTCGTAGGAACAGTGTAGCTCAGTCGTATTTAGGACAAGCCATCAAAAGACCCAACTTAGAAGTAAGATTAGGTGCCAGAGTTATACAAATTTTGATCAGCCCACACACGAAGGAGGCGTATGGAGTCAAATTCGTTCAAGATGGTCATATACTCGTTGGAAAAGCTACTAAGGAGATCATTTTGGCCGCTGGACCTGTAAATACGCCACAGTTACTTTTACTATCAGGTAATTCCTAATACAAAATATTTTTCTCAACTATAAACCTTGATTTATTGCAGGTATTGGCCCTAAAGATGATTTGGAAAATTTAAAAATTGAAAATCTAGCAGATCTTAAAGTTGGAACTAACCTAAAGGACCAACTAAGTTTCCTAGCGTTAAACTTCCATGTAAATGAGTCTTCAAAAATACCAGAGACAAAAGAAATGGTTGAGGAATTATTGAAACTTGGAGGAGGTCCCCTAACTTCTCCAGGAATAGAAGCCGTAGGATATTTGAAGACCGAAGCTTCCAAAGAGAGTGTTGACTATCCAGACATAGAAGTGGTGGTGCACAAAGACGTTCTCAAAAATGGTAAGAATACAGTAATTTATTTTAAAGATAAAATGCCACAGATTTTTCACAATGTTAAGTTGTTCATAAAGTACATAACTTTTGTACGACAAAGTACTGTACTAAGTACAAAGTTGTAACGTTAAGCTTTTATGCTGACTTCCCATGAATTTGTCAATGTTAAGTTATTGAAAATGAAATATTTTTTTATGAAAAGCTACAGTTTCTTCATATTCTTCTCAATATTATTTAACTTCTTCACTATCTTCCCTTAAAGTCGAACATTATCCCTTTATTATGATATTTCAGATAGGTTTAACTTATAAACTGACTTTTCATATATAGCTCTCTTTTTTGTCGCAACGTCTTCGTTTTATATTCTTCTCGAAATTAGATTCGTCTAAAAATTTTTGGCGCCTTCAAATACTTTGGCTTTTTTATGGATAGGGCAGATTATACTTTTTTCCACTGTTTGCGAATTTTTTCTTCTATCCATATTTCTTGTAGTAGTTGGTGTATCTGTTTTGTCAAATTTTTTCCTACTTGCTTGTATACTGCTGCCGGAATTTTATCTATTCCAGGCGCTTTATTGCTTTTTTGCTTTTGGATTGCCATTCGAACCTCCTCTAGCCTTGGAGGTCTAGTTGTTATTTATGCAGAAGCTAGTCTTCGGTTTGTACCCCAGTCTAAAATGTTCGATGAATTATTATGCACTGCGTGTTTCGTTCTTGAACTACCTCTCTATGTTTAATACTCGTTAGTTTTCGTACTCCATTTTTAGGTTTGCATAATTTATCAACCCTTCGTCTTTTGTTTTCAAATTCTGATTTCCTCTCTCTAGTTCATCGAAGTATGTAATTACGATGTGCTCCATTTCTTTCCTAAATCGGTTGTTTGCATTCTTCATCGAACCATGTTTTTTCTTTTCGTTATATTTTTATTCCTAGTACTTCTTTTGCCATGTTCAATTTAATGATGCTTATGTTGTTCCACTGATTATCTATTGCGGATTCTTCTCGTAATCTTTCATCCCCTTTTCTGACAAATCTTTCTTGTACCTCAGATACTTTTAGGTTATCTAAGATTAGTTTTTCGTGGTTTGGATATTTTGCCTTTGCCTGTCAACTGATTTTACATTTAAATTGTCAAATGTCCTTATGAATGTCCCGATATGGAAAGCATGTCGAACTGATATCTATATTCTTTCCAGCTGCAAAGTCTCTCTTAGCCGATTTTGGCGTTTGTGTAGCCTATCACTATTTTGATGTCGATAATTCAGTGAAATAGTCATTAAAAATGGTGGACATATTTCTGTGTTTACTGTATTTCTTGTTTTAGCCGAACAATTCCAAAGAGCTAACCGCATCAAGAAGGATATGCACGAAGTAACACATCCCAAACGGACTATTTCAACATCGAAGTAAATCTTCTTCACCCGAAATCAACAGGATCATTAAAATTGCATGATCATGATCCCTTCCACTACCCATTGATCAATCCAAATTCACTTACCGATCCAGACGACCACGATCTAGAAACTTTAGTTGCTGGTATCCACAAAGCTATAAAGTTATCAAAAACCGAAGCTCTACAAAAACTAGGCGTGCACATCAGTGAGAAAAAAGTACCAGGGTGCGAAACAGAACAACATGACCATTACTGGAAATGCGCTGTGAGACATTTATCAACCAACAAAGGACACATCACCGGCACTGCTAGAATGGGAGCTGAAGGCGATAAAGATGCCGTTGTAGACGAGAAGCTTAAAGTAAAAGGAATACACAAGTTGAGAGTTGCCGATGCTAGTGTCATACCCGTAACAATCTCTGGCAACTTGGTTGGTCCTTCAATTTTGATTGGGGAGAGGGCGGCAGATTTGATAAAAGAAGACTGGAAATAAGTTATGTATTCGATTCGACATAAATATATATTTTTGTAATATAGTAGTTGTTTTAATAACATTGATAGTTTTTTCGTGATGCCTATACGTTCTACAAATTGGTGGTCGTCATAAGCGATTCTTACTTTACTCATTACTGTAATGTGTATATTGTTGCAGATGCTTTAGTTTTAGAAGTGGCCGATTGCTTAGTTTTTAAATACTTTTATTACAAAGCTCTTCCCTATAAAATCAATGGTAGATGTATAGCTATTCATTTTTGATTATTAAGAAATTATAGTTTGCCTCATTTCGCTATGATAAGGAATTCTTGCCCGACTTTGTGGATAATAACCTCCATATTTACGGTTGACCTAATGAGTCCCAAGGCATAAATGGGAACAAGTTAAAAATACTCAGCCTAATAACACTTGTCATCGCGAGACTTAGTCTGTGGACCAATGAGCATGTCGATGCGCATCGCGCCGCCTTGAATATCTTTACCATTGGTCAATTGGCTTGAAAATCTCAAAATATTATGTATAAATATTAGTTAAGTTCAAGCCAAGGACGAAACACTTACTATACGCAGATAACACTGCTCTCGTAACAACATCTCGAGATGCAAATGGCCTCTGTTGGTTTGCTCAAAATCACCTAGATCATGTCGATAGGTGATACGGGAGATGAAGAGTAACACCTAACTCAAATAAAACTCAAATGATTCTCTTCAAACATCCCAATCTTAGCAGATACATCATTCACAATGTTGCCAAAAGAATTAACCTCAGACTATGGGGGATCGACTCCGTGACCGGATCGAATACCGAGACGTGGTGTTTACAGAGACGCTAGACTGGAGACGTGGTCTGGCTAGAGGCTCTCCTCTCTAAGCAGGAGCTACACGATCAAAACTATCAGAGGTCAAAACTGTAGAGTCCAAAATACAATCAAAACTACCTGCTTGTCCTTTGGCAATGTATTCATCAGACATCTTAAAAGAAAACTCTCCTTCCTCCCTACTAAACTGCTGACCTTAGCCAGCATCGAACTCCCTGATGAATACATGAACATTCTGGAGCAACTTCACTTTACTATCGTAACTAGTTAAATAGCTCACTTCAAGCTCTGCTACGGACAGGGAGGAATCGGTTTTCTGTGGTTTCCCGATACCATTGCACAATTATACATGTCCTTAGAGAGGTTACAGCCACAGCGACCCAATACATTTTCAACTATTTACACATTTAAATTCAGTAATATTATTCATAACTATTAACAAACTAATAATTTCTGAAAAGAACCGTTTTAGGATCAACCCCTTCACCTCCAACTATCCTGAAAAGCTACCTCCTCCGCAGGAATCAACATCCACCGAGCCAAACCACCAGTGAGACGCAACTACCCCAAACCATGTCCTGAAGAGGTGACAGACACCTAAAACAGGACACACAGAAACCCACCGAAAAGAAGAAATCCAAACAGATAACGACACGCCAACAAAGTAGCTAGCCAAGGGAAGTCCTTCACGGCCTTTTCTAAAGTATCTCAAGCTCTAGAAGGCCTCCTGTTAAAGCTCTGTCCCAGCCAACTTTGTAAAGACTCTACGGCGTCTCTTACTCTACTGCAAAAAGTTGTTTTGTTTGTTATGTAAAAAATTAACTAGTCTTTTTCAAGACTAGCTACATAAAACATCTATAGTCCTATCTGAGATAGACATAAGCAGGGAATACTTCACCTTCTTTACACGAAGCCTCTTGCAGAGCGTACGAGGCAGAAAGACAGATTTGGCAGTATTTTCTCCCCCGAGACGACACACTGTTTTTTATAGTCCAGTAACTCGGGCGGAAAATAGGAACTTACCTCCCAATTCTGCACGCATGGATTTAGCTGAAAATTTGGATTTAAGCTGTCTACCCTCCTTTGCAAAAGTTTTATATGGGGGAAATATACTTTTGTTTTGAAGGGATTAAAACTACCATTAAGTGGAAAAAAATAGAAAAACACGTATTTAAGCTTTGTATGCATTAAAATCTGATTAAATTAAGTAAAATAAACATATTCAATGATAATTTGTACTTTATTAAAAATTTGTTTCAATTCTTAGGAACCATCGAAAATAATTTTGTACGATGTAAAATGCTTAACCTATTTATAAAAATCAATAACAATTTATTCATCGCTTGCGAAATGATGTTTCATTGGTTTTAAGTTTTTATCCCCTATGTTGTAAAAACCACAAGTTATATTCATTTTAGTTTATTTTTCGTTTTCACAAATATTGGCTGGAATCTTATGTGACAGACTGTACTTCTTGCCTACAAAATACTTGTCTCATAAATGCCTTATAAGGGCCTTGTGTTATAACCATTAACACCAGCCTGTCGACACTTTTAGATAAAAATTGGTTCAAGCCAAAAGCATTGCAGATGTGATTTGTGATCTCTAGTTGTTAGCCGAACGTTCGGCTGTGTGCAGTACTCACTACCTAAGGCATCTCTTCGTCTGAAAAATACAGTAAAAAGTGCGTTAGTTTTCGCTATATTCGCGCGCCCCAAAAACACCGGTATAAAAATGAACAAAATGAACAAACTCTTTAATTAGTAAAAGTGGTACAGAACAAAAGTTGCATAGAATTTCGGCGAAAATAAGATGAAAATGACTGCTGGAGTACCCCAAGGGTCAGTCCTGGGACCCACACTATGGAATATTTTATACAACGGGGTATTAGAAGTAAACAAAACACAAGGAGTAACGGCTATTGCATACGCAGATGACCTAGCCCTACTTATAGAAGATATGAATGGGAGAATTATAAACAAAGTAAATGAAGCAATAGAAACAACTGCGAGATGGATAGAGAGAAATGACCTAAACATTGCAGTAGAAAAGACAGAGGTAATTATCTTGAGGGGACCACGAGATAGAAAAAACGTAAATTTTCGGTTCAGAGGCTCCGACCTAAGACCCCAGAAGACCGTAAAATACTTGGGAATCATACTAGACTACAAAATGGCATTCAGACACCACATACAAGAAGCATGTCGGAAGGCGGAAGAGAGGACCTCGACCCTTAATAAGATAATGCCGAATATAGGAGGCCCCGGGTCACACAAAAGATCAGTTATACTACAGTCAATCATGTCCTTAACAAAGCAAAATATAAAGACATGCTTCTTAGGACACAGAGGAAACCATTGACCAGGGTATGCAGCGCGTACAGGGTATGCAGCGCGTACAGGACCGTATCAAACATTGCCTTACAAGTAGTGGCCGGTGCTGTACCGGTGCATATCCTGGCTAATGAAAGGGTTCGGATGCACCAAAGGGGCAATGGAGCTGTATGTTCAGGAACACAAGAAAGAAAAAGGAGTTTGGAGATCTGGCAGGACCAATGGTCAAGAGAAACAGACAAGGCTGTCTGGACGAGGGCCCTTATCCCAGATGTACTAAGGTGGTGAGTGTAAAGCGCAGACGTGTCAACTACTACTTCACCCAATTTATGACGGGACATGGATCTTTCCGGTCTTATACATATAGAATAAAGAAGACCGAGGACGATCTGTGTCCCGAGTGTGGAGTGGTGGATGACGCGCATCATGTGGTATTCGTATGCCCTGCATACAATGTGGGACGAACCTTGCTGCAGCTGGGCCTGGGGTCACCTCAGGTGAGCAGCTTTTCATTAGTCATGTGCTCACCTAGTGACACATGAACTAATGAATAAAGCAATTGAAAACAAAAGTATCTTTGACTTGATCATTGGTTTTGTGACAGAAACCATAAAACACAAGGAAGAGAAAGAGAGTAGACGGCAACAAAGGTGAACTGTTTATTTTAATGTGTCATATCTGTCGGCGTCAGTGAGGTGAGCCACTATTCGGCTCCCACTACTGATTACACACGACTTACACAATTTACATACATGTTGTTTCGTTTTTGTTTTGTCTTTACTTGTATCTAGTGTACGGTGTGTGTCTCCTTTTGGAGCAGCCTATTACTAAGTAATGGGCTGGTGTAGATGGAGAAATGAATGTACCACCCCCCGGGGGCAGAATATGAATGTCTGGAGTTGCTTGTATCTTATCTCTGATATTTCTCGTTAAGTTAAAGATGGTTGAAATAGCGACGCGGTCCCTCCTTCCTGCCTATCGCTCTGCATAAGGATGGTTAGCTTACAGACCAAGTCAGGTGCAGACGTGAGTAGGGTGACGCGACTGGGTTGCTATGGCAATCACGGAGCGCAGACGAAGAGCGACTGATGGGAGTTATGAGCAAAGCTTATGGGTCAGATGGTAATGCTCGCTAAGAGCGGTCCCAGACTCGTCGGTTGGAGAAAGAGGGGGTGAGTTTAGTTGGTAGGCGGTCCACTACGGTGTAACGACTATTTTGCTTACCACAGGGTAGGAATATAGGGGGACAAGATTGGACAAACAAAATAATCGAAACAAGTGCATACGGCACTCAGTTGGTTGTTGGAGAGCTGGGTCGTGGATAAGTTGAAGATATTGGGGGTTGGATTGGGCAACTACAAAAAAAGAAATAAAGGGGTACTTATACAAATCTCTTGGGACAAACAGATTGAAAATAAACTGGAAATACCTCAAGAAATTTAATATAGGGCGCCACTTGAGGTGCCTAATTATACCTATTACAACCACTAGTTGTAACTAGGGAAATAATTACAGAACATCAAAAATATAAAAAAAAAATATCTTTTTCAAATAAAACTCAAAATAGATCAGAGAAACAAATTGAACGTTTATTCTTGTCTCAAACAAAACAGATCAAAAATAAATATTATAAAAGAAACATATCATATAACATAATACAAATAACAAAAACTTACATGTTCTTTGTTTACTATATTATTTATTAGATTATCAAAAATTAAGGATCCTTGTTAATGAAAACATATAAATTTAACCTTATATATGAAATATCGTTTCTACATAATAATTAAATTAAAATTTTTGGCAAGCTTTCGCTTGATGATAAAAGTTTTGTGAGCAGACATCTCTGCCTCTTGAATGAACTTTTTTTTTTTTTTTTTTTTTTTTTTT